AGGCTGCCCAGGGCAGGGGTTGAGTCTCCATCCCTGGAGGTATTTAAAAGATGGGTAGACGTGGTGCTCGAGGACGTGGTTTAGTGGTGGACTTCGTAGTGCTCGGTTAATGGTTGGACTCGATGATCTTAAGGGTCTTTTCCAACCTTAATGATTCTATGATTCTAACCAAAAAAACAGGGCAAGATGGGCTTGCGGTGCTGTCCTGAGATAACTGAGCTGACAGGGAAGAGGCAAGAGAGGAAAACTTTAGCAGAGACAGGAGGTGTCCTCAGTGAAACGTCCCTCATGGAGGGGCTTTGTGCTGGAGGCCGCAGTGGCGACAGAGGCCAGCCTGGGGTAACGCAGAGGCCCATCGCTGCAGCATGGGCAAGCCCCGCTGAGCGCGACTACACGGGCATGTCCCCTGACACCGCAGGGGTGCGGGGCGCCCGGGCGAGGGTCAGCACCGGCACCTTTGTTGTCGCGTGGTCGTTCTGCTCTGAACTGAGCTGATGTTTTATAACATCCTAATGCGTGGCACTTCTGATGGAGAATATGAGGGAACGGGGAGGTGTTTCAGCAGCTTCTGTTGTGTGTTGTTCGGACCATGTTGCCGGTGGAGGCTGGCTCTGGCTGGAGATGCAGGCTGCTGCCTGCAAAGTGACAGTGAAGTGAGAGACCTGGTCTCTGGCCTCCTGCAGATCAGATCAAAGCCTGATGGGAGCTGGGAGGGAAGACGCATGGTTTAGGGTCTAGCTGAGGTGACAGCCGAAGACACTGTAGGTACAGGGTCCTCAGCCTGGTTTGAAAAGGACTTGGCAAGCTCTGGGCGGGGTGATTTTTGTGGATAAGAGGGGTGGAGAAAGCTCTTGCGTTACATACAGGACAGCCACCTAGCATGGGCAGACAGAAGCAGAGCCAATGTGGGTTTGTAGGAACAGCATTGTATCAGCTGAAGGCTTTGTCTGCGTTGCTCTGGCATGGGGGGTTTACACCGTGTCAGCACTTCGCAGCATGTTGCTGTGTCCTTTTTGATCCTCTCTGAATAGCCCAAAGGCAGAGTGACCCTGTCTAAGCACTGCCTTTAGGTCTGCCCGTGCAGCTGTGCTGACCCTGCCCACAGCTTTGGGTTTGGATTTCCTGTGAATGTTAACTGATCCAAAAAAACCCCAAACCTGTACAGTTACCTTCGTTAGTCTTCCATCCCCAACTTCTGTTGGTTCCTTGATTAATACACAAATACTCTTAGTGTCCAGTGAACCTGCGGGTGCAATAAGAAGGACTGCTTTTAGCATACCTGCCCAGCAGAAATTTTAGGCAAGCGTTATGTACTGGCAGCGAGCTCTGACTCTTGCTGATGCTTCCCCTGTAGGGCTTAACTGCACCCAGAGTTATTCTGCAGCACGTTCTGCAGTAGCTGTCACACTCTTCGCTTCCACTGTGCTTTTATCAGGCCACATTTTCTACTGTGATAACTTAATGAGCACTTGTACTTTTCTATGCTTTTGTTTAATGACTGTGTGATGAGTCCTGTCTCACAAATTGCTGTGGTTTTTGCACGCTGAAGGCTAGCTGACTTTAGAGAGCCCCTGTTCCTTTTTGCAGGGAGCATCACTTTTATCTGAAAAGGTCTCTGGGATAGATGGAAGGGCTGTGCCCTGAAAAAATAACACTTTTTTTTTGTAATCCTGTGAGAGACTAGCATAGCCAAGATATTCTCATGAGATACGCCGATAGTGCCCTCAGTGCTCACGGTATTTCTGTGTTCAGGGCGTGCTCAGGGTGTTTCACGTCAGGATTTTTACCACAGTTTGTGAGGGATCTAGGAGAACTCCCTGTATGGTGCTCTCCAAATCAAGCAGATTTTCCTCATGTGGAATGGGTAGTTTATTTTCCTCTGAGCCGACACTCGTGCTTGCTCAGAGGAGCTTTCTGGGAATACTTAGCTGCTGTTTCCATGCAACAACCAATTTTTCTTCACTGACATGCGTTCACTGTGGATTTTCTGATTGGAGGTGCATGTATATAACCTTTCATTTGCATCAACAGCTAAATTTCATTAACTTCTAACTCTCTTTTTGCTTTTTTTTACAGATAAACTGTGTGACTTTCCCCCACCCTGACGTAATGCCAGAGCAGCAGTTACTGAAACCTTCGGAGTGGAGCTACTGTGATTATTTCTGGGTAAGTAGGCAGCCAGCCACATGCCATATTGCAGCTCCTGAGCTTCTGAAAAAGTGGAACAAACAGCTTGATTTGTGGTACAAAGTAAAGGAGAATTTGGGCTGAAATGCAGTGCATTAGGGCAGCACCAGGGAGACTGAGGATGCCAGTGAAGATCAGGTGGAAACCATCTAACCAGTCTCAGATGTGGGCGATCATCAGAAGAGTGTCCCGAAGGGCATGGTCAGCTGTCAGGAGATGGTTTTGGTCAGGAAATGGGGAGGATGTAGGACAAACTAGACATCTCAAAATACCTCAGCCGAAAGAACTGTGTGGCGGGAGGAGGGATAGTGAGGTGGCTAAGAGGGAATATTATTTCAGTGTTTCCCAGAGCATGAGAGGTAGGGATGCACAAGGAAGCTGCGGGTATCACATTTAAAACAAGCAGATAGTTACAAGCTTTGTGTTAAATTGTAAAGCTCACTCCCACGGGATATTCTGAAGGATGCATGATAAATTAGTTTTTTAAAGGATGAGGTTTGTGAAGGACAGGCCCATTAGTAGCTCTTAAATTGAGTAGTTTTAATGTAGCCTTCAGCATGGGAAGTCTCCAGTGGCTGTGTTTCTGTGGGTGCCCTCTTGTGCTTAGCTCTGCTTTCAGGATCCTGAATCAGATTAAAATGATACAGTAGTCCTTCAAGTGTGGAGCTGATAGAAGAAACCTTCCACTGGAAAACTGTTTTTTTGGGGGGTGGGGAGAATACTACCTCAGCAATGAAGATTTTATGAATTTCACATGTGTTTTCAGTTATCAGTTATTGAAGCATTTCCATTTTTTAAAAAAAAAGTTTTACTTACAAAAAAATGTAGCTGTTGGAGGCACAGCAGCACTTCCCCTCGTGTGTGCTCAGCGTTGGTGTGAGTACTAATGGCAGTAACTTGCTAAAATACACTGACATACTTGCAAATGGTTAACCAAACCATCAAAGTTTCTTCACTTTCTTCCAGTCTTCTGATCCCAACGAGCAATAAATTGGAAATGGTATATAGGCTTATTTTTTGCGTGTGTCTTACAGAAGTTGCTGCCCTGCTTGGTTCTTTCCATTTAGGCTCGGCCACGGCTTGGTTGCTTGGGTTTTGTCACATCTCGCTCGCAGTGAAACTCCACTTAAAGCTGCCTTTCTTCTGCAAGCTTTTATCCGCTCCCAGGACTTTCCTCTTGTTCAGCCTTGTAATCCATGGTCTGCCCATGACTCACCTCCTTCTTCGATCAACTCCACTCCTCCCGGTGTCTCAGGCTGGTAGTGCCCAGCTGCTCGGTGCCTGGCCTGGCATCCTACAAGTCTCCTGCTTTGATTAATGTGGCATTTTTCTCTGTGCAAATGTGCAGCACCCAGGGTATTGGAGCAAAACCTATTGTCCTTAGGGAAGCGTTCTCTAAGCCTGTTTGTTGGAAGGGGGTGGGAAATGAAATTCTGAAATCAGGGAAAGCAGAGAGAGGCGAGAGAGAAAAGAGAGAGCAGAGAGAAGACTCTGTTGGTCCTTGTAGCAACCCTGAAGTCAGTGGAGGAAGGGGTGAAAAGGGCTGTGTAGGAAGCAAACAGTGAAAGATGGGATGTATGGCAGTCATCTGTTGAAGAAGTTGGTGTTTTACCCTGCTTTACAGCAGATCTGTGCAGGCTGGCTGTATTTTTCTGAGTGCAAATCAGGGTTGAACTTTATAGTCTATTAAAGGTCGTTTAGGGCTGTGTCACCTTTGGAAAGAGCAGCAGTGTCTTTCCCTCTCCCCCAGCCGTTCGCTTGTGCTGGTTCCAGGATCCCTTCTTCTCTTTGCAGGGCTGAGCCATCAGGGCTCACGCTTGCTGACGCCAGCCCAGGGGTGTTATCAGGTATGAAAGGCCATGGGCAGAAGGGAAGGCAAGACTGCTGCTTTGGCCCCAACGTAGTCTTGTGCTAGCTAAAGATAACTGTAAAACTTCTTTTTTTCTAATAAAAAAAAGGAATAAGAGGAGGGGGAAAGACAAAGTGTTGCACTATTCCTCTGAGAGGGGCTGAGGTTGTTTATCAGAGGAGAGCTCTTCGGACACCATCGCTGCCTGTTGCTCGGACTGCCTGGGTGGTTGCCACTGGGAATTGTGTGTCTGTGGTTTTGATATCCATATCTTTTTCTTGAACGTCCTTTTCCCTTCCAGGCTGATAAGAAGGATTCGCAAGGGAACAATACAGTGTCGGGATTTGAAATTCTTCTTCAAAAGCAACTTAAAGGGAAACAAATGCAGAAAGAAATGGCAGAGTTCGTTCGAGAAAGGTAATTAGCACTTTGCTATGAAATTAACTATTTATGGCAGTATTTTTTTTCCTGATGTAGATATTCCTTCGGTACGTTAATGGTGTAGCATAAACTGCACAAAAGACATACTACCAATTCTTAAAGAACATTTAATATTTCTTTAATGTCCACTCACACTCTCCAGTCTTCCCCAGCTCTCACTCATCTCTCCTGCTGTGCCTGTCTCAGTTGTGTTGTACACAGGCTGTCCATTTAGACAGAGGAAGCCAAGAAGGTTTTAAGCGGCAGATTCAAGGAAAAAGCATGGACATGGAAAAAACAGAGTAGAGATGATATTTAGAAAGGAAATATTTTGTCTGAAAGATAGAGAAGCAATTTGTTGACATGGAGCATAGGCACAGTTTCCTAGGGGAAGATGTAAAAAGACATCACTTGGGACTTAAGCTGGTAATGGAGCTAAATTACACATACAGATATTTAGAGCCAACACCAAGTCATAAAGGCAGATGTTGCTACCAGAAAATGCCAGAATGCTATTAATGGTCTGTTGCTCTGCTGACATGGGAAGTGCACTGAGCACCAGAGAAGCAGTTGATAGATGCTCAGTTCAACCATGTACAGGAGATGATGTGACATCATTACTCATAAGTAGTGTCACTATTATTTGAAATCGCTTGTCATGTGTCCAAGCCAGTGTAAATCATCTTGAGGATGACTCTGAAAACTTGAGAACAGCCCATAGGGAGCAAGTAGTGTTTACTCCCAGGAGGAAGGCAGAGGACGCTGATGGATGTTCTTTCCTGGAGGCAGTTGCACCAGCTGAAGGAGCTGCTGTCCCCTCTTATTGCCTCTATGTTGGTGCTTGCTGCTGAGTTGGTACTGCATTC